TATTCAAAAAAATCTTCTTCCGCCGGTTAAGAGAACGAGGTCTGATTTGTTGTCGTGTGATAAAAGCCTTCTGTTTCGATTGCCAAACATTTTGGGAGAGCATTTGCAAGCGTTTGGCACCATTTTTGAGTGAATTCCCAGAAGACAGATTTTTGCTGAAATTGTGACCCCGGGGCTTAGGGATTTTTTCAAAAAAATCTTTTTCCGCCGGTTAAGTGGTCGAGGGCTGATTTCTTGTCCTGTGATAAAAAGCCTTCTGTTTCGATTGCCAAACATTTTGGGAGAGCATTTGCAAGCGTTTAGCACCATTTTTGAGTGAATTGCCAAAAGTCAGATTTTTGCTGACATTGTGACCCGGGGCTTAGGGATTTTTCAAAAAATCTTTTCCACTCGGTTAAGTGGCCGAGGGCTGATTTCTTGTCCTTTGATGAAAAGCCTTCTGTTTCGACTGCCAAACCTTTCAGGGAGCATTTGCAGCGTTTGGCACCATTTTTTGTGAATTGCCAAAAGTCAGATAAGTGATCGAGGGCTGATTTCTTGTCCTTTGATGAAAAGCCTTCTGTTTCGACTGCCAAACCTTTCAGGGGAGCATTTGCAAGCGTTTTGAACCATTTTTGAGTGAATTGCCAAAAGTCAGATTTTTGCTGAAATTGTGACCCGGGGCTTAGGGATTTTTTCAAAAATTATTTTCCGCCGGTCATGTTGCTTGAGGGCTGATTTCTTGTTGCTTTGATAAAAAGCCTTCTGTTTCAACTGCCAAACCTTTCAGGGAGCATTTGCAAGCGTTTGGCACCATTTTTGAGTGAATTGCCAAAAGTCAGATTTTTGCTGAAATTGTGACCCAGGGCTTAGGGATTTTTTCAAAAAATCTTTTCCGCCGGTTAAGTGGTCGAGGGCTGATTTCTTGTCCTGTGATAAAAGCCTTCTGTTTCGATTGCCAAACATTTTGGGAGAGCATTTGCAAGCGTTTAGCACCATTTTTGAGTGAATTCCCAAAAGTCAGATTTTTGCTGAAATTGTGACCCGGGGCTTAGGGATTTTTCAAAAAATCTTTTTCCGCCGGTTAAGTGGTCGAGGGCTGATTTCTTGTCTTGTGATAAAAAGCCTTCTGTTTCAACTGCCAAACCCTTCTGGGGAGCATTTGCAAGCGTTTGGCACCATTTTTGAGTGAATAGTCAAAAATCAGATTTTTGCTGAAATTGTGACCCCATGGTTTAGGGATTTTTTCAAAAAATATTTTCCGTCGGTTATGTTGCTTAGGGCTGATTTCTTGTTCTTTGATGAAAAGCCTTCTGTTTCGACTGCCAAACCTTTCAGTGGAGCATTTGCAAGTGTTCAGAACCATTTTTGAGTGAATTGCCAAAAGTCAGATTTTTGCTGAAATTGTGACCCGGGGCTTAGGGATTTTTCAAAAAATCTTTTCCGTCGGTTAAGTGATCGAGGGCTGATTTCTTGTCCTTTGATGAAAAGCCTTCTGTTTCGAATGCCAAACCTTTCAGGGGAGCATTTGCAAGCGTTTGGCACCATTTCTGAGTGACTTGCCAAACGTCAGATTTTTTGCTGAAATTGTGACCCCGGGGGATTAGGGATTTTTTCAAAAAATATTTTCCGCCGGTTATGTTGCTGAGGGCTGATTTCTTGTTGTTTGATAAAAAGCCTTCTGATTCAACTGCCAAACCTTTCAGGGAAGCATTTGCAAGCGTTTGGCACCATTTTTGAGTGAATTGCCAAAAGTCAGATTTTTGCTGAAATTTTGACACCGGGGCTTAGGGATTTTTTCAAAAAAATCTTTTTCCGCCGGTTAAGTGGTCGAGGGCTGATTTCTTGTCCTGTGATAAAAAGCCTTCTGTTTCGATTGCCAAACATTTTGGGAGAGCATTTGCAAGCGTTTGGCACCATTTTTGAGTGAATTCCCAAAAGTCAGATTTTTGCTGAAATTGTGACGCCGGGGCTTAGGGATTTTTTCAAAAAAATCTTTTTCCGCCGGTTAAGTGGTCGAGGGCTGATTTCTTGTCCTGTGATAAAAAGCCTTCTGTTTCGATTGCCAAACATTTTGGGAGAGCATTTGCAAGCGTTTGGCACCATTTTTGAGTGAATTGCCAAAAGTCAGATTTTGCTGAAATTGTGACCCCGGGGCTTAGGGATTTTTTCAAAAAAATCTTTTTCCGCCGGTTAAGTGGTCGAGGGCTGATTTCTTGTCCTGTGATAAAGCCACTTCCGGCTTGCCCAGGAGGTGGGGTTGCGGGCTTCACGCCCACCCCACGTGAGCGGGGGCTGGTTTCAGCCCCCGCGAGAACAGGGGAATCCCGGCCGGGTGTGCCCCCCCAGCCAGCCAATCGGCTGGCTGGGGGGGCGTGGCCTGGGCTATTTAGGGCCGGCACGGAGGGGGCTTGCCCTCTCTTTGCCGGCTAGCCCTCACGTTTTTTCTAATCAGCTGATCGCTTTGGGAATCCTTCGCAGCTACCTTGTGGAGCGTTTTCAGGAGCACCTTTTGTTTGTTCACTTCCTGGAGTGCCTTTTCACAGCAAGCCTTTGTCTTCACGGATCGGCTACTGCTGTTAACCCTCTCTTGCCGGCTACTGCTGTTTACCTTTTAGAGCTGAAATCACTATCGGGAGATCCTTTTTCCTACTGCTGTTTACTTTTTAGAGCTGAAATCACTATCGGGAAACTCTTTTTCCTACTGCTGTTTACCTTTTAGAGCTGAAATCACTGTTGGGAAATTCCTTTTCCCCCTACCAGCTTGCGTGCTGCGGGGAGCCACAGCTGAAATTGCTGGGGTTTTTTCTATTGTGGGGGGGGCTTATTCTCGTAGGTCTCCTGCCTCTTGAGATCTGATCGCCCATCGCTTCTGCAAGCCTCCAGATTTACATCCCAGCTGCATCCCTGGACCCCTACACCGTTGGTCGGGCTTCGGGAAGCTTGCTGCCAGGATCGGAACACGCACGCACGATCAGCTGACTGGCGGCAGCGCAGCTCAAGCACCGGATTTCTTACCTGCATTTAAACCAGAGGACCAGGTACACGATTGTGGAGGGAGCGAGGCGCCTTTAATTCTGCTTTAATTTGTCTGCGGTTGTTGTGTATGTGCTGAGCCTTTAGCGTTCTTTCCAGGGGCTCTGGGGAAACACAGGTGGGGCAGCAGAAGGCAGCTTGACATTACACTTTCGGGGCTCCCCTGCGTCCTTGCTCTTGCTTTGGGGGGGGGCTATATCGGGCTGAATTGAACGTGCGTCGGGAGCTACTTTGGTTGCTAAGCGACGGTACTGTCCGCGGCCATTTTGAACAGCCCACGTGGTCAGCAGGCGGCCGCCATTTTAGCATAGGCAGCAACACGTGGGAATTTTCTTGAATCGGCATTCTGGTCTTGATTTTAGCAGCTTTAACAACTTAATTCAGCGTTTAAGTGTGTTTGGTGCTCAGCTTTCCCATTTCTCTCAGCAGCGACTTCATTTACCACTCACTTTCGGCTGCTATATTTTCGCGTTTGTCTTATAGTTTTTAAAGGGAAGTGGCGCCGTTGCTAGGCGACCAGTCTGTGCCCTGCGCCATTTTGGTTACACCACGTGGCCTTGGTAGCGGCCGCCATCTTGCCATAGGAAAATATCGTGGGACGGCCTTTGGATTCATTGTGGCCTTGCAGTCTTGTCTCTCAAGCTTCCCCCTTCTAAGTCTCATTATAATCGGGCAGTGCATTGCAGGGGCATAATTTGAGTAAGTGTTCAGGGGTTCCAGGGAGCTTTCCTTGGGTAATCAAAACAGTTGCTAGTACATCAAATACAGTTTATAGGGGCTCAAGGGTGGCTGTTATTTGCGTGTGCAGTTTTTAGGTGTTTTTTACTGACGCCTAATTAGGTTTCAGTGCACAGGGTTGTCCCTTTAGATATACAGCTGCTGCATAAGGCAATTTAGCCTTCAACACTGCCATACTGCTGATTTATAATTTTTGTTCTATAGCTCAAACCTTCCTTATTTCCCTCTCCAACTGTAATTAAAGTTCATTTGAAGTGCAATTAAATTTGAAAACAAATAAAGTTGTAATTGAGGTTAAGTGACTAATCAAATTAAGCATTATTTAATTAAATACAGTAAATCGGATAAATAAGTTAATAGATAACTCGGCAGTTATATTTCTTTCCTTGCTATACGTTACGCCCTTCCATTTCCCTTCCACTTAAAGTGCAATTAATAATTAAAATCAAGTAAAGTTATTATAGAAGTTAATTGTCTAATCCAATTAGGCTATATATAATTGAATATAGTAAATCAAATAAATAAATTAATAGATAGCTAGGTTGTTATATTTATTTCTTTGCTACTATTAGTTGAAATTTGGCTGCAGTGAACTTCTAGTGCAGGCAATACTGAATTACAGTATTATTGTGAGCTATTCACGCATATAATCAGAACTACCTGCTATTAACCAAGGGTATTAATCAAGAGTCTTGACTGTAACTATGTCGAATCAAGGTAACCAGGTAAATGCTGCTGCATCCGGGGGGGCTCAAGGGAACCAGGAGGAGTCCCAGCCATTTATAATACCAAGTAACCCGCAGGCTTTGGCGCAGTTTTTCACGGCTTTTCAAGAATTTTATAAGCAGAGCAGGTCCGCAGGCCAAGTGACACCCACACCAGGGGCAGCAGCACCAATGACGGTCGCGACAGTGGCAACAGTACCAGCGGCAGTTGCACCGGCTGTAGCACCGGCCCCAGTGCAATCTACACCTTTGGCGTTCTCCCAGGAGTTCATCCCGGACACTCAACTCAATGAGGTAGTACTTCCAGGTACATCCGCGTCCTCTTTGGCAGTGCTGGGTGCAGCCAAAGAGGCAACAGCCCGGCAAAAGAAGAACACCCGCGCTCAGTCTGCCACCTCAGGCAAGACAAAGGGTGGCCAGAGGGGTGGCAGGAAGGGTAAGGCTAGTGCACAAGGTTCGAAGGCGGCTAACCCACAAAAAGACCCAGGTGTCCCTAGTCTCTTTCAGGTTCTGCCTCCGCAGGCGGCACCTGCCGAGGCGCATCAGAGTCCACTTCGGACGAAGAAGCGCTGGGGCTGCAGGCGGTACAGGCGAACAGCATACCGCAACAAGCCACGCCGGAGGTCCTCTCTGGGAAGAGGAAAGAAAAAAGAAAACACACTTCTAAGAAGAGTAAGAAGAGCAGGCGTTCGGAATCGGATGATGATTCAGGTACCTCTTCTTCTTCCGACTCTGATAGTGATGATTCTAGGGAGGAGTATTGGGGTCACGGCGAGGACTGCGTGGGCCTTCCTTCTTGGGCCCATGAAAGGAGGGCCAATTCCTACCGTAAGTCCTTTAATGGGACTCTCGAGTGGAAGGACGGCGCCCTAGTGCCGGATGTTAAAACCTCCACGCACCTGTCCACAGATTTCATTGTAGGTAACCATTTATCCCAGAAAAAGAGGGACAAGATCCTCAATGGTGATTTTATTGATATGTTCCGATTGTTGCCTCCAGCTAAGTTGACAGGTAAAGGAGAAAAGAGGCGCAGCCATGGAAAACGCAGGTACAGAGCACCCAGAGTTGAGCGCACTTTCGACCATTGGCTTGATGGGTTCCAGGTGTTTATGGGTGTGGTCAGTGCGGCTTATCCTAAACGGGCGATGCATTTAGTCGCCTACTTGGCCCATGTGAGGAGGGCTAGGGATCTAGCGGGGGATACAGCCGCTCTAAATTACGATGAGGATTTTCGCAGAAATGCGTCGCTGTTATCTTCCACTCGTTGGGATCTGAGGGACCAGAACTATTGGTCTGAGCACGTAGGCCCCTACGTAGACAAGAAGCCCCAGGACTCGTCAAAAGCCTGGAAGACCGCTCCAAGACAGAGGCGACTGTGCTGGGAGTTCAATAAAGGGGTCTGTGTGCGGCCGGTCTGTAAGTACAGCCACGAATGCGAAAAATGCCTTGGTAACCACCCGGCCACTGCCTGCCTTAAAGGGAGGCAGCCCTTTCGGGGGGGGAGAGGTTCCTACAATCAGGGTTCCAGGGGCGGCCATGGAACCCCATTGGGACCTCAAGGGAACAGGCAGTAACCTCAATCTCGGCCTGGCCTTTTCCCCCGTCAAGTTGACCCCGTTAAAAAACCTCTTGCAGTTATATCCCAACAGGGCAGCAGCAGCGTATTTATGGGAAGGATTTAGTGCCGGCTTTAGGATCCCAGTAGCTTTTCCCCCCAATTCGGGTGATCCACCAAATCAAAAATCGGTGAGGGAGATGCCCGAGGTTGCCCGAAAGAAGATTAGTAAAGAAATTAACGCAGGTAGGGTAGCTGGCCCCTTCTTAACTCCCCCAATCCTAGGCCTTCACATATCCCCGTTAGGTATAGTCCCTAAGAAAGCACCTGGTGAATTTCGCATGATTCACAACCTTTCCTACCCAAAGGGAGGGTCCGTCAATGACGCGATACCTCAGGAGCTCTGTACGGTGAAATATGCTACTTTTGACCAAGCGGTCAAGATTATTCGCAAATTCGGCAAGGGCGCGCTTTGGCAAAGTGCGACATTGAATCGGCCTTTAGACTCTTGCCAGTTCATCCGGAGGACTTCCGGTGGCTGGGTTTCAAATTCGAAGGGGTTTATTTTGTGGACAAAGCAATGCCCATGGGCTGCTCAGTCGCCTGTGCAGCCTTTGAGGCATTCAGCACCTTCCTGGACTGGGCGCTTCGCTTTAGAACTGGGTCCGAGGGCGTGTCGCACTACCTGGATGACTTTATCCTCGTGGCCAATAGTAGGCGTAAGTGCTCAGAGCTCCTTGAAGCCTTCACATCGTTAGCAGGGGAGCTGGGAGTTCCCTTGGCCGCTGACAAAACAGAGGGTCCAGCTACAACCATGGTCTACTTAGGTATCGAATTGGACACAGTCGCCCAGACCTCAAAACTTCCCAGAGAGAAGCTGATTGCGCTTGGCGACCTCATTCGGCAGCTCCTCCCCCTGAAAAAGGTAACACTAAGGCAGATACAGTCACTGCTAGGCCACTTAAACTTTGCCTGCCGCGTGGTTTCCCCTGGCCGTCCATTCTGTGGCCGCCTCGCGAGGCTGGCAGCCGGCCTGCGATCCCCCCATCATAGGGTTCGCTTATCTAAGGAGGTAAAATCTGACTTGGAAGTTTGGTTGAAGTTTCTGGAGAACTACAACGGTATTTCCTTGTGGCAAGAGAACTTGCTGTTGCAAGTGGACTTCCAGGTTCATTCAGATGCTTCAGGCTCCTTAGGGTTTGGCGTTTACTTCAGAGGCCAATGGTGTGCCCAACGTTGGCCGCCAGCGTGGCAAGGGACCCCCATAACCAGAGATTTGACCTTCCTAGAATTCTTTCCAATTGTTGTGGCAGTGCACTTGTGGTCTGAAGTCTTCAGCAACCATAGAGTTTGCTTCCACACTGACAACCAAGCAGTGGTGGGAGTCCTTTCCAGGCAGGCCGCGCGATCATCAAGGGTAGGTGCCCTCCTGCGCTCCTTCGTTCTCAGGTGTCTGGAACTTAATATCCACTTCTCCGCCAAATTTGTGCCTGGAGTTAACAATGACATCGCGGATGCCCTATCTCGTTTTCAGATGGACCGCTTCCGCTCGTTAGCACCGGAGGCTCAGCCGCTTCCTCAGCCGTTCCCGGAACATCTGTGGAGACTTGGGGACCAGAGTCATGGGAACCAGAAGTGATTCAGGGAGTATTGGCCTCATTGGCTCCGTCCACTTTAAGATCGTATAAGAAGGCGTGGTCAGATTTCCTTAATTTCTGTAATAAAACCCGCACCGATAGGAATAACGCCCCCCCCGTTAAGTCCGAGGTCTTATCTTACTTGGTATACTTAAAACGTTTGGGTCGCGCCCCCAGAACTATCAACCTTCAGGCAGTGGCAATATCATTCTTTTGCAAGGTGTTATTTTCCTCTGATCCATGCGCTGATTTCGTCATACGAAGGACCCTGGAGGGCTGGCGCAGGCTGCAGCCCCCAAGCCATGACGTAAGGAGGCCAATATCATTCGACATCCTTTCCCAAATTCACAAAAAGCTGAGAACGGTCTGTTGGTCCAAGTATGAGGCGCGCTTATTTTCAGCGGCATTCTCCATCGCCTTCTTTGGTGCGATGCGTGTGGGTGAGGTGGTTTATGAAGAGGGTCAGCGCGGCTCTTCCCGGGGGTTACTACTGAGCGACCTTACGCTCTCTAGGGAGGATCTGGTGTTACGAATACGCAGCTCCAAAACAGACCAGTACGGGAGGGGGGCCCTGGTTCGGCTTCTGGCAACCGGACAACCAGGCCCGTGCCCCATTAAGGACACCAGGCGCTTCCTAGATCTGAGGACCAATTCGGCAGGGCCTTTCTTTATCCATGCAGACGGCTTACCTCTGACGCGTCAACAGTTCACACGGGTTATGCGCTCAACGCTGGCTGCATGTGGCCTTCCCCCTGCGGATTTCGCGGCGCACTCGTTTAGAATAGGTGCGGCCACCACAGCAGTGCACCTGGGCCTTACTACGGAGAGGGTTAAGGACTTGGGCCGCTGGAAATCGGACGCTTACAAACGTTATGTTAGAGGAAATCTATGATGGTTCAACTGGGGTCAATTGACCATGGCCTGTTCTTTTAATCTTTTGCAGGTGTTATGGGGGTCCGCGTCTGGATATTCGGGCACAGCATTGTGCATTGGGCCAGGGTCCGCGCCATCAACTCCGGTCTCGGGCCGCGCCTCGGCTGACCGTCTGGCATCACTTTATCCTGGGTTGCGCGAAGGGGAATGCGCTGGGCGGAGATGTTGCCCGCATTTAAGACCAGAGCAGCAGCGGAGGGCCCCCCGGATGCTTTGTTGATACAATTGGGAGAAAATGACCTTGCCTACAGGAAGGCAGTTGACTTGCAGTGGCACATTTTCAGTGACTTTGAGGAGCTTAAGGCCTCTTACCCGGACATGACAATCATTTGGGCCTCTTTGATGGAGAGGCGTGTTTGGAGGGATTGCAGGTGCCCGATAGCCATGAATAAGGCGAGAAAAGCCTTGGATCGGGCGGTGGTGCGTAGAGTGGCAGCCCTGGGTGGAAAGGTCATCGAACACCCGGGCATTCGTTTCAACTGTGAGGCCCTCTACCGGTTTGATGGCGTGCATCTTTCCGATGCTGGAAATGATGTTTGGCTGTGCGACATAGTGAAGGGGATAAGGGATTGGTTTCAGGTATGAGAGTATTGGCGGCGAGCGGTTGCTCGTGTGGCGGTAGGCATTGGTAAGAAGGGGTTAAGAGGATGTGTGGGGGGGGAGGAGCGCCATCACCTCCCCCCAGTGAACGAAGGGTGGTCCGTTAAAGGACTCCGGGGGGCGTGGCCCTGTCCGAAGCCTATGGAGGTGAGGGCCAAAGGCACGCCCCAGAGCGGTGACCCGGGAGCTCCTAGTCGACGTGCCTCGGCAGGAGACTCCCGATATAGTGTTAACCCTTCCCCGTGTCTCCAGCAATTGGGCTGGAGCCGGATAGTCGATAGGACCAATGCCTAAGCCAATGCCTCTCATTCCTGAACTCAATAAAGTTGTGGCCTAATTCGCCCAATTAACCTTAATTATGGTGTCTGGTGTCTTTATTTATCCTGGTGGGGGGCGGGAACTCGCCACGCAAAAAGCCTTCTGTTTCGATTGTCAAACATTTTGGGAGAGCATTTGCAAGCGTTTGGCACCATTTTTGAGTGAATTCCCAAAAGACAGATTTTTGCTGAAATTGTGACCCCGGGGCTTACGGATTTTTTCAAAAAATATTTTCCGCCGGGTATGTTTTTGAGGGCTGATTTCTTGTCTTGTGATAAAAGCCTTCTGTTTCGACTGCCAAACCCTTCAGGAGCATTTGCAAGCGTTTGGCACCATTTTTGAGTGAATTTCCAAAAGTCAGATTTTTGCTGAAATTGTGACCCGGGGCTTACGGATTTTTCAAAAAATATTTTCCGCCGGTTATGTTGCTGAGGGCTGATTTCTTGTTCTTTGATGAAAAGCCTTCTGTTTCAACTGCCAAACCTTTCAGGAGAGCATTTGCAAGCGTTTGGTACCATTTTTGAATGAACTGCCAAAAGTCAGATTTTTGCTGGAATTGTGACCCCGGGGCTTAGGGATTTTGTCAAAAAATATTCTCCGCCGGTTAAGTGGTCGAGGGCTGATTTCTTGTCTTGTGATAAAAGCCTTCTGTTTCGACTGCCAAACCTTTCAGGGAGCATTTGCAACCGTTCAGAACCATTTTTGAATGAATTGCCAAAAGTCAGATTTTTGCTGAAATTGTGACCCGGGGCTTAGGGATTTTTTCAAAAAATCTTTTCCGCCGGTTAAGTGGTCGAGGATGATTTCTTGTCCTGTGATAAAAGCCTTCTGTTTCGATTGCCAAAGATTTTGGGAGAGCATTTGCAGCGTTGGCACCATTTTTGAGTGAATTCCCAAAAGTCAGATAAGTGATCGAGGGCTGATTTCTTGTCCTTTGATGAAAAGCCTTCTGTTTCGACTGCCAAACCTTTCAGGGGAGCATTTGCAAGCGTTTGGCACCATTTCTGAGTGAATTGCCAAAAGTCAGATTTTTGCTGAAATTGTGACCCGGGGCTTAGGGATTTTTTCAAAAAAATCTTTTCCGCCGGTTAAGTGGTCGAGGATGATTTCTTGTCCTGTGATAAAAGCCTTCTGTTTCGACTGCCAAGCATTTTAGGAGCTCAGTTAGCATTTGCAAGCGTTTGGCAAGTCAATTTTCTGAATTGTGAATTCCCAAAAAGTTTCAGATAAGTGATCGAGGGCTGAGTTCTTTTCCTTTGATGAAAAGCCTTCTGTTTCGACTGCCAAACCTTTCAGGGGAGCATTTGCAAGCGTTTGGCACCATTTCTGAGTGAATTTCCAAAAGTCAGATTTTTGCTGAAATTGCTTAGGGA